ATATTCAGTTTTCTTTACATAGTTAAACTATGGAACTCGCCCCCACAGGAGAAAGTGATGACCACCAACTTGAAGAAGAAGAAGAAGAGTTTGGATTTGATATCCCGCCTTTCACTCCCCTTCAGGAGTCTCAAAGTGGCTAACGTTCTCCTTTCCCTTCCTCCCCCACAACAAACCCTCTGTGAGGTGAGTGGGGCTGAGAGACTTCAGAGAAGTGTGACTGGCCCAAGGTCACCCAGCAGCTGCATGTGGAGGAGCGGAGACACGAACCCGGTTCACCAGATTACGAGTCTACCGCTCTTACTTGAATGGCTTTAAAAGTGGACTGGACAGATTCATGGAGATTAAGACTATCCATGGCTACTAGCCATCCTGGCTATGGTCAGTAAAGCTTCTGAATAGCAGTTGCTAAAAATCACAGAGGGGGAAAGTGCTCTTGTCCTCAGGCTCTTCTTATGGGTTGAGGTTCAGGGGAGAAGACCATAAATAGTTAGGCCTTCAAACACAACCATTCTTTCCCCTAGAATGAGGGGAAAGCTCCACCCAACAGCTACAACTGGAAGAGAATTACAGGAGCCCCATCAATCAAAAAGCAGTAACGTAACCCATTAGTATGAGAGCTAGTGTGGTGTAGTGCTTAGGAGCAGTGGACTCGTAATCTGGTGAACTGGGTTCGCGTCTCCGCTCCTCCACATGCAGCTGCTGGGTGACCTTGGGCCAGTCACACTTCCCTGAAGTCTCTCAGCCTCACTCACTTCACAGAGTGTTTGTTGTAGGGGAGGAGGGGAAAGGAGATTGTTAGCCGCTTTGAGACTCCTGAAGGGGAGTGATAAAGCGGGATATCAAATCCAAACTCTTCTAGTATGTGGGATATTTAAAATGCAGTCAAAACCGACAATTCATGTTTTGCTAGGAGCTGATAGGAGCATGATAGGAGCTGAAGTTCATAAAGTTTTCCTGTAAGTTTGCTAGAGAGACTTCTGTGAGACACTCCCACTGTGCCCTGACGGTGGGGGGGAGGGTGTAGTAGCTATATATTCTCCTATCTGCCTGGACACAGCATCTTCCTCTCTTCCTTCCTCACCAAGTCAGCAATGAGAAGAAACATCTGCTCAGACTCCATTTTTAAGATAGGCTTACATATGTCTTTGTAACTGAACTAACATTTTAAGCTTGCTTGAACAAAGCTGCTGCATCTGTTGCTCTTCAACAAGTATTCTGAGTGCGTAAATGTTATTTTTACCTTTTACAATACCGTTTGTGTGATTTTTATTTTAATTCTGGGTTACTTAAGCTAAAAGGCTACAAGTAGCCTATTTAAGCTTTCCTTTTAAGCTTCAAAGGGATAGTGCTCTTCTGAACACACAAACCTGAGGAAGGAAGGACAATATCTAATAAATATATCCTATCCTAGCATATGTAAGGTAAAGGTAAAGGACCCCTGGACGGTTAAGTCCAGTCAAAGGTGGCTATGGGGTGTGGCGCTCCCTCAGCCTGAAGTGAGAGCCACTGTTTGTCCACAGACAGCTTTCTGGGTCATGTGTCCAGCAGGACTAAACCGTTTCTGGCGCAATGGGACACTGTGCAGAAACCAGAGCGCACGGAAACGCTGTTTACCTTTCTGCCACAGTGGTACCTATTTATCTACTTGCACTGGCATGCTTTTGAATTGCTAAGTTGGGAGAAGCTGGGACAGAGAAATGGGAGCTCACCCCATCGCAGGGATTTGAACCACGGACCTTCTGATCGGCAAGGCCAGGAGGCTCAGTGGTTTAGACCAAAGCGTTACCCGCATCCTAGCATATAGCACACACAAGAGGTGCCTTTCCGGATTCTGCAGTTTCATTAGGCAGAGCTCAAAATGTATTTGAAGTTGGTAACTATATAATTCCTGGAAATAATCCTGCTCCACCTCTACTAATACTTCTTCTCTTTCCCCTTTTCCTCTGAAAGCTGACATTCTTGGGAAGTTGAATTTCAATATTGCATGCTTTGTTTTTCTGCACTTGGCATCCACACAGTGCAGACTGTGTGTGACCACAGAGGAAGTGGCACTCAGCAATGGAATGGAGGAGCCACTGAGGATGACCCGAGGTATAGCAGGCGTCAGTGGAGAAATGGGTCAGAGGGAAGCAGAAGACAAAGCCCAGAGATGCTTCCAAAATGAACAGGGCTCTTGCTTGAGTTATTCATTTGCCCAGCGTGCATCACGACTCTTTATCCTCCCAGGACTCTTCTCCAGCTCAGGTCTTAATGTTTGGAAGCTGTGGCTGGATGGTTACATGGGAACCGGTTGAAGTTAAATCCTTCGAAGACAGAGGTCCTTTGGCTGGAACGGGACGATATGGGATTGGGGGGGGGCAACTCCCATCTCTTGCGGGGGTGCTATTATTGCCAGCACCGTCCGTAAAGGCGGCATTTTTTCATCTCCGCCAAGCTAAGCAGTTGGCTCCTTACCTCTCTCGCCCTGACCTAGCCACTGTGATCCACGTGACGGTCACCTCCAGACTGGATTATTGTAACTCGCTCTACGTGGGGCTGCCCTTGAGACTGACCCAGAAACTCCAGCGGGTGCAGAATGCTGCGGCAAGACTCCTTATGGGGTCCTCACTGCGAGATCACATTCACCCGGTGCTATACCAGCTGCACTGGCTCCCAGTGGAGTACAGGATCAGGTTTAAGGTGCTGGTTTTAACCTTTAAAGCCCTATACGGCCTAGGACCCTCGTACCTACGGGACCGCCTCTCCTGGTATGTCCCACAGAGGAACTTGCAGTCTTCAAACAAAAACATCTTGTAGGTCCCAAGCCACAGAGAGGTTAGGCTGGCCTCAACTAGAGCCAGGGCTTTTTTGGCTGTGGCTCCGATCTGGTGGAACGCTCTGTCACAAGAGACCAGGGCCCTGCGGGACTTGACATCTTTCCGCAGGGCCTGCAAGATGGAGCTGTTCCACCAGGCCTTTGGCGAAGGCACAGTCTGACCCCCTCCTTCTGTAATCCTCACAGAACTCTAGCCCAATGGTTGCCATTAATCTGACTGGAATTAATTTTATAATGATTTTATAATGTTTTATCATTTTACTGTTGTTAGCCGCTCTGAGCCCGGCTTCGGCTGGGGAGGGCGGGATATAAATAAAATTTATTTATATTATTATTAATCCAAGCAGGATGGAAACTGCCTGCCTACTACCTGGCCTGGCAGCAGCTACAACTGCAATGACTGCAAAAAGAGCCCTGAGAGACCGCCCCCCCGGCCCCTTTCCTCCATATCCCTTCCTGGTGTCTGGAATACTAGCAAGCAGCATACCAGGAAAGAGGAGGAAGGGGCTCTCCCTGCCACTGCCTCGGCCATTTCAGCAGTTCCTTGTAGGCAAGGCGAAGTACACGAAGGGGGTGGAGCTTGAGCTGGAATTGCCCATCACTAATGAGGACTTACGCATCTGCGTGCTTGAAAAAGGGAAGATCTAGTCTTGATTTTAAACAAATTCTACTAAGCATTTGTTAGAATTTCTGAATGAGTTAAGGCTCTGTCTGTCCACAACTTATACTGTGCAACAGAGCAGACCCTCAAAGCTTTTAGCAAAGAGGATGGTTTGATGTCTTACTCAGCTCATTTGTGTTCAGCCTTCAGTGACATGAACCAATAAAGCATTGTTTATTCAAAGCTTAGAGGGGCTCATGATGACTCTAATCCCTCCACAGATAGCAAACAGATAACAGAGACAATCACCTTTTCCCTACATCAGAGAATATGCTGAGGAATATAACACACAAGCTGTAAGGCAAACCCATTATTGTGTTTAATATGAGAGAAGCCATTTTAAAATGGTAAAAGGTGCCACTCAGTGCCTGATTTATGTAATGAAGAAATGTAATGTTTTGTTAAGGGCTATGAATGTTCCGCAGACAATTTTTCTAGGCGCATATGCTCAAAAGCAGAGAAAGGGAAGTTAGACCAGTGAATATGATTCACATGAAAATGCATTGTGCGCTATGAACATCACAATAGATTGTGCCTAGCATCACTGGCTGGTGAGCAAACAATGCAACCATGTTCCTTTGCCAACCTATGTACTTGAAAACATTATTTAAATGTGAAAAGCATGAAGCCATTGTGTTAAAATACACTCTCTTGCCAGTTTACAACGAGGATAGTGAGATCCTTGGAGACAGGGACGGGTTCTTTATGCATGATCATCGTTTAATGATTGGAATAATAAGCAGTGAAGTGTGTGTGAGTGCGCCTGCGTGAATGAGCTGGAGCTGGAATGAATTTACTCTCCAGAATTCCCTTCTGTGGATTTTGATGTTGACTGAATATGATTCACAATATTTGATGAGTATTTTATATCTGCATTTGACATCCAATGATATTTGATTTCAGTTATTTGGTATTTTACAGTATTTGTCAGTTGAAATGTAAAGATATTTATTACTTCCATATTTAAGCTCACACACCAGCTGCAGTTGGGAGATCAAACCCAATTTTGGGTAACTTCCATGGGTCAGATTAGAACCGTGATGGCTTCGAGTATGGCGTTTCCTGCTGTAGTTCCAGGCCTGGGCTCTGGAAGGATCTGCCTCCTGAAGTGAAGAGCTGTTCTCCTTTGCTCTCTTTTTGTAAGAACCTATGTTCTGCCTTGCATTTTGCTGACAAGCTGTTGGCTGCTTTTAACTATTGCTAATTTATTTTGTAGGGGCGCGGGTGGCGCTGTGGGTTAAACCACAGAGCCTAGGACTTGCTGATCAGAAGGTCAGTGGTTCAAATCCCCGCGACGGGGTGAGCTCCTGTTGCTCTGTCCCAGCTCCTGCCAACCTAGCAGTTCGAAAGCACGTCAAAGTGCAAGTAGATCAATAGGTACCGCTCCGATGGGAAGGTAAATGGTGTTTCCGTGCACTGCTCTGGTTCACCAGAAGCGGCTTAGTCATGCTGGCCACATGACCCAGAAACTGTACGCCGGCTCCCTCGGCCAATAAAGCGAGATGAGCGTTGCAACCCCAGAGTCGGGTGCAACTGGACCTAATGGTAAGGGGTCCCTTTACCTTTAATATATTTTGTATAGACTGCTTTGGGTGCTTTTGTGGAAAGCAGCCTAGAAATGTCTTAAATCTACATTTCACAGTCTTTGATAACTGACATGCAACGGTATTTGCACAAAATGGGTTTTGAGGTTTGGCATGCAATACTGACAGTCAGAGTAACTGACAGTCTTTGATGGATGACTTGCAGGGGTATTTTAGTATTTTTGACAGCTTGTGAGATTTAGATTAAGTTTACTACCGGAACAATCACAAGAGGCCAACACATCTAAAGCAGTAAGTTTTTCTGATTCAAAATGTGAATTTCATATTTCATATTCCATATAGAAGCCAAGCAAAATATATTTTTGAATGTTTATTTTGGCTCTGGAATAACACATCCAAAACATGACACAATGCTCTTCAGTGAAGCAAATTCAGTCATCCAGCTGTGAATTCTTAGGTGACTGTGCTACATACACTGGTATGAACAGGCATGTATAAAATGAGCTTTGCATGACCTATGAATCATGATCAGTCATAACCAGAAAAGCTTAAAATCCAGCACCTTGAATCTAGCTAAGGGGTGTATGGTTCTGCATGTAGGGACTTAGTTGCATTAGTAAAAAACAGCGTTTTGAATGCATTATAAACATGCAACACCAGATGGCACTGGAGAGCAAAAAAAAATTGATGCATTTTTCCATAGCATTTTTCTTCTTTGGTTATAACAATTTAGTTTCAGAATTATTTATAGCTCCCCACCCCCCATGTATAGATCCACCGCATATCTCCAGCTGGAAGAGAATTGTACTTTTGGTACCCCAAACCAATCAAGCAACTGCAGCTGTGCAAGTGGAGCCCTTAAAAAAAAAAGAAATCCCATCAACTTGCACAGGTAAGAGGCTACATTCACCAAAGGTTGACACCAAACAGTTGTTTAGTGGGCTTTTAATTGTCCAGAAGGGCTACATGCAGAACAGAGCCTGCTCTGCACATTCCCTGTTGGATCACACCTCTCTCTCTCTCCCCCCCCCCGCGCCATCATTTCCACTGTAGCTTATAAAGGGCCATACAGCTGTTATCTCACTTAAGGTCGCAACCATCCTGTAAGGTAAGTTGCTTTGCTGATGATATGGTCCCAAAACATTGAGGTTTCATCTACACATGTACCAGAATGAGGTGGCAAAATCTTGAAGTGGACCATGGCATTATAAAAAAGAATCCCCTATGTAAGCACTTCCTTGTAAATTTAAAATTGTGATCTTCCCCCGTGTGGTACGTTACTGCATGATGACTCTCCCACCTCATTCCCCTCCCCCATTATGCTTTGTGACTATCCTGCTTGACCAGATGTTTCTTTTTAGTACAGCACAATTCTGTACAAGTTTACTCAGAAGTAAATGTTAGGCTTTAGTGGCTAATTAAAACGTGGATTTTTTTCAGAGAAAAATGCATCTGTGGGATCATCCAGATCAGTGAAAAGGTAAGGCGTGAGCAGCTGTGTAAAAATATGCTCACCACAAAGTAAGCGCAAAGTGAACTTGAAATGCTCAAACCAGATATGTAGCGCATGTGGACCCGGGTTTCTTAGAACATCTAAAGGAATGCAGTCCTGGGTGGGCATTAATACGCTTACTGTCAGGACTCTGGCTTCTGTGCATGTTTAGGGAATAAATCGAGGACAATGGAAGCTTGTGTCACTGTGTATTCTGCACTAAAAACATAATAACATTTCAGCACTGAGGCAGCTCAAATTCTGCTCCAAGAAAAAGGGTTCATGTGCAAATTATGCAAATTATCTGCATTGGCATGATTTCCCTTGTTTTGCATAATTAATTTTGGTTCTGATAGTCATTTCGAAGGCAAGCTGCTAGAAAGGGCACTGAAGAATCACCCTTAGATACTGGAAATTTTAGCCTGCAATGTTATGCACACTTGTGAGTGCATCCCATTTAACTCAATGGCTATTGCTTCTGATTAAACATGTTGTTATTGGACAATTCCTCTAGCTTTTGAGATTTTGCAGGTCTCAATCCTGTGATCTCTGCATGCTGTGGTGTGTGGGCACTTGACAATAGCGGAGCACAGAGCCCTCTCTCCTTTAGCACAAATCTCTTTCTGTCTACACAACAGCATCCTTGGATCCCTGTCCAAATGTTTTTATTTCCCATTATATTTCTAACCCAACTGTAGGACTCTTGAGGTACTACCGTACATGAAAAATGGGGGGGGGGGGGGGAGGGCATTAATTTGAATAATTGAATCGAACAGAAGCCACTGCTGTAGTTACTTGGTTCACATTTTGAATTAAGGGGGCATTTCAACAAATGAAAGGAGAGAGTGCCATCTTCTGGCAAACTTCATAATTGCATTGAGTAAGTGGAGGTTTAACGTCAACAATATTTCGGATTCTATCTGTGAAATATCCCAATACAATCACATTTTCCTCTGCTTGCTTCACATTGTAGGTTGCTTCCTTCCTTTGATGGAGATGTCACCAAATCTTGTGGGCATCTGCTCCAGTTGAGGTTAGCTGATCTTCAATTTATGTCTCATCTTTACTCAGCCGAGAAAAGCATTCTTTGGGTTTATTAACTGGCAGATTTACATGCCCTGCATTCTTTTGTGTCATGGCCAGTAAAAGAGAAGTAGCAGAGAGACACATTTTGATATATTCTGCTTTACTGCAGAAGAAGGTTGCATCATTCTTGATTTTGGGATTGATAAATAGCTTTTAGGATAGGTGAATGAGAATGTATTGGATGTTGTTTTTCCATTACCAGGCTCAGACAGCTGTGGCTCCACTTGCTTTTCATGCAGAAGGTTGCAGGCTCCATTCCTGGCATCTCCAGAAAGAGCTGGGAGATTCCCTGGTGGGAAAACCTGGAGAGCTGCTACAAATCAGTGTAGACTCTGCAGACCTAGACGGACTCATTGTCCGACTTAACACAGGGCCATTTCCTATGTTCTCATGCATGTTCCCCTATTATGCACTACATGGTTATTTGTAGGTGAGCATATATTACAATAACACGTTTCCTCACAAGCAAATGGGCCCTATAAATCGTTGCCTCTAACCAGTGCTATTTTTTTAGGAAAGGAGGTGCCAGAACTCACCATAAACTCCTCACTTGTTCTCTTATGGTGCCCACCTGAGAGGTGCTGGAACTAAGTTCCAGTGAGTTCAGGCTGAAGAAAGCCCTGCCTCTAATACTGCCCACCCCCTAGGATTGCGAGGAGCTTCAAAACCTCATTCCTTGCTCATTGTCAGAGGGAGGCTGGAGTTCGATGTCATGGCAGCTGATCTGTGCATTTAAAGCCAGTTATGTGGAAAGGTTGGGTTGGGGGGATCTGAATTTAGATGCAAAAGGGCTACAGAGGTGAGGTGCAAACTTCTCTCCCTGCCTCCTGCTTACATCTCTGTAGCCAAAGTCCCCCCCCCCCCCAGCTAAACTTACTTCTGGCTTTGGAGCTTTTCTTAGGACATCAGTGCCCAGGGAGACAGACGCTGAAGCAGGAAGCCCAGAAGCAGAACATGAAAGCAATAGCCCTGCCCCACTGCTGCTCCCCAGAAAATGGTGCTCAAAGGCATATCATAGTCACCATGACCAGTAGTCACTGATAGCCCTATCCTCCTTGAGTTTATTTAATTCCTTTTTAAAGCCATCAAAGTTGGTAACCACCTCCAGATCCTCTGGCAACAAATTCTATAGTTTAACTCTTGGCTGTGTGAGGAAGAACTTCTTTTTGTCTGTCCTGAAGCTTTCACAGGTAAAGTGTGGGCAGAGGAGAGTTTAACTAATACCTTTTGACCACATGCACACATGCATATATTCCCTTTTGCTGTTAAAATCAGGCCCAGACTCTTACAATGTGACTGGGGCAGCATCCTGGTTTAAACAAACAGATCTGCTGCCATCCTGTCTAGTTTGGCCCTTAGTCAATGCCACTGTGAACTGTGGATTAGCTATCATGGGAGGCAGAGCTTTTCCCAGGCTTGCCACTCCAGAAACTGACAGCAGGTATCATATTATATTTGCTCAATCACAGTCTCTGGTGTGCCAGGCATCGTGTGCCTTGACAGGCATTCTTTAACATGTCTATCACAGGCACAGGGTTTGGCTTGTGTGACTTGCTGGGCTCCCCCCGCCTTTTTTCCCTACGGAAGTAGGGTTTTTTGTTTTTGTTTTTACTCCTAAGGGTAAAAACCAAGATCCTGGTGTGGGAATGCTGGAAATTGTGCAGGCAGTCACTATAGGCACACAAGGTGGAGCTAATCTAGATCCAGAGTGTCATGCATGTTGGAGCTGAAAGTGTCGTTCTGGCATCCTGTGGGGTGAGGTTGGGGTTAGTGTTAGAGGTGAGACTCATGTCTGGAGTGATTCAGAATAACTGCATCCATTTCCATTAGGATTTTTTCAGTTTAAAAGGGTCAGGTCTGGTGCTCTAGGGGCAAACAGGCTGGCAAGCGGTCAAGTGTTGGGCTGGAACTCCATCAGCAGCTCAGTCAACCCTGTGCCTGAGAGACAGCTTACTCAGGCTGAAGAAGCAGGCCAGAGTCAGCAGCTATACAGGGCCTGATGGAACCCTCTTCATTCCTGGCGTCCACCCTCTGGACATAGGTAGCAGAGGTCCTGGAAGCACAGCCCAAGCCACCAGCAACTGCCCTCTGAGATGCTGCCACAGAGGCACAGAAAGAAAGGAAAATGGGTCCTCCTGCTCCTAGACTCCCTGGTTCAGGATATATGCGGTTCATAGGACTCTTACTCTTATCTCACTCCAAATAATCAACATTCTGCACTGGGCACATTGAAACATCAGTATGACCTACAGTAAGACACACATGTAAGATTACATAAAATGTGCATATTCACAGCCATGCCATTCTGTATTGTTATACAGCTAATGAATTGTTTTCTGGTTAATTATATGGGGAAATCAAGGGGATTTGAAATTATAGGATTGAGATTACAGAATCATGAGACTAATTCCACAGCACAGCTAAAAGCAGCTAGGAGCGTACTACCGTATTTACTCAAATCTAATGCTCACCTTTTTTGTCCACATCACGTTGCGGAAATTAAGGTGCGCATTAGATTTGATGGCACATTTACATTCACCAGCAAATACTTTTTTTGGTTTCAAGGTTCTGAAAACTGAGGTGCTCACAGTAAGTGAGCAAAAGTACAGCAAGGCACATAGAACAAACCTAAGCAAGATTTTAAATACATAATGGATAAATACAGGGTTTAAATAGCAAATATGCTTAAATTTACAGATTTCAGCAACTATATGCTTAACTTGAAACATTTTAGAATCACAGCTTCTTCAAAAAAAAATCATGCTAGATGAATCTCATTACAAGCTTGGTGGATCAGGGGAATGTTGTGAACGTACTGTATCTTGATTTCAGTAAAGCTTTTGACAAAGTCCCCCATGATATTCTTGCAGAGAGGCTGGTAAAATGTAGGCTGGATAAGGTTACTGTTAGGCAGATTTGTAGCTGGTTGACTGACCAGACCCAAAGAATGCTAAAGGTTCCTCAACAGCTTGGAAAAAAGTGAGAAGTGGGGTGCCGTCTCAGGACCATTGTTGTTCAGTGTCTTTATAAATGACTTGGATGAAGGAATTGAAGGAATGCTCATCAGATTTGCAGATGACACCAAACTGGGAGGGGTAGCTAATTTAGGGTTGCCATATTTCAAAAACTGAAAATCCAGACACAAAAGTTGAGCTTTTTAATTTTTTTATAATGCTTGTCTGGATGCAGGATGGAGAGGGTTATGTGTAGAAATGAGCCTACGGCACAAAAGTAAAAATTACATTCACTGCTCTACCTACTTTTGCCTCTGGCTCCATCCACCACGGACATGTGGTTCTTGGGTTGAAAAAGGTTCCCAGCCCTTGATACAAAGGATTGCTGGTTTAAACTGTAATCTGCTATGAGAGCCTGGTGTGAGCCCTGGTTATTGTGTCAGGTGTAAAGGTGCTGGGACAGCTCAGTCGGTAGAATATGAGACTCTTAATCTCAGGGTCACTGGGCAAAATATTCCTGCACTGTGGGGGTTGGACTAGATGACCCTCACAATCCCTTCCAACTCTACAATCTGGGATTCTATTATTCATTCAAGTATCACAGTTCTGCCCATACAAATGTGCTGAAAGAATCCACTCACTGCTTTCCTGCTCTTGCACCAGCTCCCTTGAAATGAAGAGAAGAGAAACAAACTCAGAATTGGAGGCATGCAAAATGACTCCGCAGTTCAGAAAAAATTGGCTCACCTGCATCAGCCGCAAAGCTTACAGGCAGCTGCATGAATTGTGCAAACTGCCCTACAACCAAGAGTAAAAATCAACAAGCTGAAACACATGCAGAGGGTCACTACAATCCCAGTTCAAACAGATCATCTTTCCCTCTGCATTTCAGGCTGAGCAGGTTTTCCTCAAACTGAAGTTGATATCAAGTTCAAACTTATAGCTGTATTGACAAAGATTTTCTCAAGAAAAAGATGTTGAAGGATGGTATGTTTGTGCAAGAAGTCATAAGAAGGTGAATCAATTAGAGATTCCTTTTCTGTGGAATAAATAGCTCCATCATTTTATTATTATTTTTTAAAGCTTACAAAGGTAACCATGACAACAGTCCAGGTCTCCGTGCAAACTGCATTGAAGTGAGGGCTCCACCACCCCAACATCACATTTTCTGTAAGATCCTGTTACAGGTATGCCTGTGTATATAGTGCTGATCACTGGGTGCCTGATCTCTCTCTTTTCGGTGAGAAATGTTGATGCATGTTTTCCCCTAGTGTTGACAGAGTGGGAGTCTGTCAGTCTGGTGAGAGTCAGCGCCCACAGGTGAGAGGCACAGGTGGGCAAATGACACAGTACGCCAGGTGAGAGGTGGGCTAGGTTGCCTGAGATTTTATTCCCTCCTCTCCTTTGGCCCCTTTTCTATCCTGCTTCCTTCTGCTTGTTTGCATCTCCTTGTTGTGTACTGATGGGTTTGAGTGGATGGGTGCTGGGTTGTGAGGGGCTGACATATTGAGAGTTTGGGGAAAAGTTGGTTTACCACCTGCAGCATGTGTTTGGGGGAGGATTATTTATTTTCTCTATTTCATAAAAGTTATACATCAATTGATTGTGAAACAAACAAACAAATCTTGTGGCAGTTTACAAAAAAATCATGCATCTCAGTGATTGTGGGGAGAGGTGGGCATGGCCAGAGGGGGGGAGGTCAAAAAAGGAATAAGGATGGGACAGCAGATATACCTGACTCCCATACCTGACTCCCCGTGGAACTATTGGGTGATCAGTCACTGTGTCTGAGATATCGAGGAGAATGAGCAGGGCCACAGTTTCCCATCTCTCACCTGACAAACGTCATGAAGTTGGGAGGCCAGGGCCATTTCAGTGCCATGACCGTGCCTGAAGCCAGACTGGAATGGATCCAAGTAATCAATTTCCTCTAAGCATGCCTGAAGTTGGAATGCCACCATCTTCTTGACTGCCACCTTGTCCTACTGAGTGATATTAACTAAACACTTTTGGGTCCAGGGAGGTCTTCTTCATCATCATCAATCATTGTTATCATCATTTTATTTGAATGCAGCTTTCCATAGTTGAAACTATGCTCAAGGAGGCTTACAACATGACAAGATTTACATAATTACAAACATAACAGAAGAAACAATAAATAAAACACATCAAAAAGTACACAACCAAATGGAAATGATTTCCGTGTCAATCATAAGATCTAAAACAAAAGATATAACAATAATATCAATAACAGCAACAAGCTCTCTCAACCTCCCGTAAACAATACTCCAGCCTAAGAACCTCTTCAACAGCTGCAGCTTTCGTAGCTGGAGTCAGTCCGCACTCCAATCTCCCAGGCTAGATGGGAAAAGGCCAGCAAGGCAGGGTGCAGGTCTTCCAGGGCTCACAGCCAAGATGGTCTCATTTAAAACCAGATAGAAATTAAAAACAATTTAAAAGAGGAGCCCTCTCTGCTGAGCAGCAGCTGCAGTCCTTGTGAAGCCCGTCAAGCCCCGCCCCAAGCCAGGTGGAGAGAGGCAAGGGCAGATGCTGCGTCTTCTCTAGCTGCAGCCTAACTTTGCAGGATCACAAAGGCTGGGAGTTTGGTTTGTGATGGTTTTCAAAGCTCCAGACAGTCTCTTTCTGGCATTTGATTGAGTGATTTTGCTTTAGACGTAGCTGGAAATGATCATTTGGGCTGCTGGTCACATGTGAAGGTGGCAGGGATTATTTCACTGATGAATCCAGCGGGCGCTGCCCCATTGCCTCCTTCAGGCTAGATGGTGCTTTCCCTTCTCCAGTGATGAGCCCTAACTGACTGCTGCTTATTAAGTATGGAACCAGTTCCAAATGAGCTGAGGGGAATTCATCCTTCATTCCTGCTGAATACTGGAAATAGCTGGAATCTGACAGTAAGCTTTAGGATCTACCTTTGCAAATTTGAAGCACAGCTCCTGGTGGTAGGGGCATACTGGAATTTGCAACAGGTCCAGAAAAAAAAGCCATTTAAGTGCCACTCTGGTATAGCGTACTGTAAATTTGCAGTGCGGATATGCCTGGAAGCGAAAGGAAAGTCCAATGCTGTAAAGAAAAATATTGCATAGGAACCTGGAATGTAAGAACCATGAACCTGGGTAAGTTGGATGTGGTCAAAAATGAGATGGCAAGAATAAATATTGACATCCTGGGCATCAGTGAACTAAAATGGACGGGAATGGGCGAATTCAGTTCGGATGACCATCATATCTACTACTGTGGGCAAGAATCCCGTAAAAGAAATGGAGTGGCCCTCATAGTCAACAAAAGAGTGGCGAAAGCTGTACTGGGATGCAATCTCAAAAATGATAGAATGATCTCGATACGAATCCAAGGCAGACCTTTTAACATAACAGTAATCCAAGTTTATGCACCAACTACTGGTGCTGAAGAAACTGAAATCGACCAATTCTATGAAGACTTACAACACCTTATTGAAGTGACACCAAAGAAGGATGTTCTTCTCATTATAGGGGATTGGAATGCTAAGGTAGGGAATCAAGAGATAAAAGGAACAACTGGCAAGTTTGGCCTTGGAGTTCAAAACGAAGCAGGGCAAAGGCTAATAGAGTTCTGCCAAGAGAATAAGCTGGTCATCACAAACACGCTTTTCCAACAACACAAGAGACGACTCTACACATGGACATCACCAGGTGGGCAGCATCGAAATCAGATTGATTATATTCTCTGCAGCCAAAGATGGAGAAGCTCTATACAGTCAGCAAAAACAAGACCTGGAGCTGGCTGTGGCTCAGATCATCAGCTTCTTATAGCAAAATTCAAGCTTAAACTGAAGAAAGTAGGAAAAACCACTGGGCCGGTAAGATACAATCTAAATCAAATCCCTTATGAATATACAGTGGAAGTGAGGAACAGGTTTAAGGATTTAGATTTGGTGGACAGAGTGCCTGAAGAACTATGGATGGAGGCTCGCAACATTATACAGGAGGCAGCCACGAAAACCATCCCAATGAAAAGGAAATGCAAGAAAGCAAAGTGGCTGTCCAATGAGGCCTTACAAATAGCGGGGGAGAGAAGGCAAGCAAAATACGAGGGAGATAGAGAAAGATACAGGAAATTGAATGCAGATTTCCAAAAAATAGCAAGGAGAGACAAGAAGGCTTTCTTAAACGAGCAATGCAAAGAAATAGAGGAAAACAACAGAATGGGAAGAACCAGAGATCTGTTCAAGAAAATTGGAGATATGAAAGGAACATTTTGTTCAAAGATTACCATAATAAAGGACAAAAGTGGTAAGGACCTAACAGAAGCAGAAGACATCAAGAAGAGGTGGCAAGAATACACAGAGGAATTATACCAGAAAGATATGGATGTCTCGTACACCCCAGGTAGTGTGGTTGCTGACCTTGAGCCAGACATCCTGGAGAGTGAAGTCAAATGGGCCTTAGAAAGCACTGCAAATAACAAGGCCAGTGGAAGTGATGGCATTCCAGCTGAACTATTTAAAATTTTAAAAGATGATGCTGTTAAGGTGCTACACTCAATATGCCAGCAAGTTTGGAAAACTCAGCAGTGGCCAGAGGATTGGAGAAGATCAGTCTACATCCCAATCCCAAAGAAGGGCAGTGCCAAAGAATGCTCCAACTACCGCACAATTGCACTCATTTCACACGCTAGCAAGGTTATGCTTAAAATTCTACAAGGCAGGCTTAATCAGTATGTGGACCAAGAACTCCCAGAAGTGCAAGCTGGATTTAGAAGAGGCAGAGGAACCAGAGACCAAATTGCAAACATGCGCTGGATTATGGAGAAAGCTAGAGAGTTCCAGAAAGACATCTACTTCTGCTTCATTGACTATGCAAAAGCCTTTGACACAGCAAACTATGGCAAGTTCTTAAAGAAATGGGGGTGCCTGATCACCTCATCTGTCTCCTGAGAAATCTCTATGTGGGTCAAGAAGCTACAGTTAGAACTGGATATGGAACAACTGATTGGTTCAAAATTGGGAAAGGAGTAAGACAAGGCTGTATTTTGTCTCCCTGTTTATTTAACTTATATGCAGAATTCATCATGCGAAAGGCTGGGCTGGATGAATCCCAAGCCGGAATTAAGATTGCTGGAAGAAATATCAACAACCTCAGATATGCAGATGAAACAACCTTGATGGCAGAAAATGAGGAGGAATTAAAGAACCTTTTATTGAGGGTGAAAGAGGAGAGTGCAAAATATGGTCTGAAGCTCAACATCAAAAAAACAAAGATCATGGCCACTGGTCCCATCACCTCCTGGCAAATAGAAGGGGAAGAAATGGAGGCAGTGAGAGATTTTACTTTCTTGGGCTCCATGATCACTGCAGATGGTGACAGCAGCCATGAAATTAAGAGACACCTGCTTCTTGGTAGGAAAGCAATGACAAACCTAGACAGCATCTTAAAAAGTAGAGACATCACCTTGCTCTGGTCCATGGGGTCACGAAGAGTCGGACACGACTAAACGACTAAACAACAACAACAACAAATTTGCATCCAAATATGCATGTGCATATTCAATAATCCCAATTTATCAGAGACAGGCACCTCACTTTTGTTCATCAGCAGTGAAATTCAACACCATTTGGAGAACAATCATAAAATACCTATCAAGACTCATGGATGGGTGAGTGTTATCTGTAGCCTATCTGTCACCCTCCAGATGTTGTTGAACTCCCACTCCCACCACTCATCACTCTTGGCCTTGCTGGCTGGGGCTGATGGGAACTGTAGTCATCTGGAGGGACCTGTGATGTCAGTCCCCAACATAAACAAAAGACAGGCTTCTCCATTGCAAGGAAGCTGTCATGCCATGCACCTTCCATTTTTCTCCAATACAGTGGTACCTCGGGTTACATACACTTCAGGTTACATACGCTTCAGGTTACAGACTCCGCTAACCCAGAAATAGTACCTCGGGTTAAGAACTTTGCTTCAGGATGAGAACAGAAATCGCGCGGCAGCAGCGGGAGGCCCCATTAGCTAAAGTGATGCTTCAGGTTAAGAACAGTTTCAGGTTAAGAACGGACCTCCGGAACGAATTACGTTCTTAACCCAAGGTACCACTGTA